TGACAGTATTATTTACTTTGATTACTGAGTTTTTGACACCCCCTTGAAAGTTTGCTCCTGAGGCAAATAATTCACTCCCTCATCCTCGTCCCCACCCTGGGTCTGAGGGCTTAGCTCAAGCTCCTTGATCTCTGTTGTGCTTCAGTCCAAATCTTCATCTTTTGCTCTGTATTCTGGGGAGAGAGAGCCTAGTGGCTCCATTGCCTTCTTGGAATAACTCTAAATCCTTAACGGTAGTAGTCAAGTTGTTCATCAGCCTCCTTTTCTCTCCACTAAATTACCCTGACTTAACTCTTCCTTAAAGAACCAATTTTTTTCAACTATTTTCCAACCTAGTTGCTGATTTCTGAGGTTTGAATCATGACAGACAAACAATACACTGACAGAAATATTTTCAGTGTAATTTTACACATTATGACTTGGAATTTATTTCCAGTTATTTTTCCCCGATTTAGGTATTTGGCACCAGCTGGGCTACACACAGCACTAATGAGACTGTTGTAGTAGGTTGCAGGGGTTCTTTTCACCTGAATCCCCCCAGATGCTTGTCTTACATTCTGATAACATAAGAGATCCAATATGTGGGAGCACAAGGTCCAGGTGACTTCTCAGAGTCTCTCAGCCACGACTGAACTCTCACAGAGGACTTTGGAGGAAGGAGGCTCAGGGCCCCTGTTGTACCTGTTATACTTTTCCAGGTGGAGAGAACCTCGCAATGGCATCAAATGCTGCTGCCCTTAGACGGTGCATTTTGTGGCCCAGAATCCTAGATATTTGCCTGATTTTATTTTATTTTATCCTTAAGAAACAGCTACCATTTGCTGAGCACCAACTAGTGTTAATGGAGTCCCTCGGTGGTGCACAGGGTTTAGCGCTCAACTACTAGCCAAAAGGTTGGTGGTTCAAACCTACCCAGAGGTGCCTAGGAACACAGGCCTAGTAATCTGCTTCTGCCAGGTCACACCCTTGAAAATCCTAAGGAGCAGTTCATGGGATTGCCATGAGTCAGAATCGACTCGACGACAACAACAACAACAATAGCTAGTGCTGATTATCGTCTTCATTCCGTTTTACAGGTGAGACTTGAGAGTAATAAGAATTTAAGCAACTTTCTGAGGGTCATATAGCTGGTTAGGAGAAAGGTGGGATTTAAATCTGGCAGTCTGGCTCCAAGTTTGTGCATTTTAACCAGTTGCCATTGAGTGATTCTGACTCATAGGCAACCCCATATGTGTCAGAGTAGAACTGTGCTCTGTAAGGTTTTCAATGAGTGAGTGTTCAGAAGTAGATTGCCAGGCCTTTCTCCTGAGGTGCCTCTGTGTGGACTCCAACCTCCAACCTTTCAGTTAGCAGCTGAGCACGTTAACGTTTGTACCACCCAGGGCCTCTGTGGATTTAACCACTATTCTATTCCGCCTTTGGACATCATTAAGTAGGGCAGTTGGGGTTAATCATTGCAGTAGCCCCACAGGCCAGATATCATACCCATTTCTACTTGATGAAATTGAGACCCAAGAAGGCAAAATAATTTAAGCATGTTTAACTTTTTTTTTTTTTTTTTTAACTGAGTGAGAACTGAAAGTAAGAGACATGCCCCTCTTTGCTCATATTTCCCTCCTTGAACATTCGGGCTCAGACAGTATTACCAGTAGGAGACCGTATCTGAGAAAGAAGCTAGGAATGAATGAATTTTTCATAGAATATTAAGGGGGCAAATTGTGAATTCTTGCTCATGCCAATACAAGTTTAGGTGAGAAAGATCAAAGGGCTCATTGAACAATAGTGTTCCCTTAGGTCTCCTTCAGGTATCAAGCTCGTGGGCTGAAATGTACAGTCTACTGACTCAGGAGGTGCCATTTTCATTTTATGAATGAATTTGTGGGTGCTGATTTAATCTAACTCCTTTCGGTTAAACCTGCAAGCCTCAGCAAACACAGAAGTCAGCTAGCTCCCTGCTGAGCCCCATTCCTGGGGAAAGCCAGCTTATGGCTGGGAGCCCAGGGTGGCCTGAGCCTCATTTCCACCCCCACCACGGCAGAAAGAGCCCTGCGTGCCTTTGCAGGTCAGTGCTACCCACTGCTCGCTGCTCTGCGCTTTGGCTTCACGGTGTCAGGGTCTAGATGAACGAGATTCACATAGTTTTAATAAATATTAATAACCATTTTAATCTCAGTAAACCTTGCTTTCATATGAGACCTCCAAATCATTTCACAGTCATCTCAGGCCACCAGTGAGAATGAACTCATCACTTTGCAGAGCTGTGCCAACTCTGTCAGGCCCGTCAGGTGCCATCCGGGCTGGGTCTGTGTGACAGGAACCATGCTTGGGGAGAAAGCAAGCAGGCACTCAGGACAGGCATTTGAGTAGATTGACTCGTCATCTCACTTCTATTTTCAAATACTGTATTAATGTCTCTGCCTTTAATTGATTTGCCATCTGTGCTCTATTATTTTTGTAGTGGGGTGTTTTATAAGAACGCTACTAATAATACTAGAAGCTAAGATTATTGAGTGCTGACCACATGCCAAAAAAAATGAGCTGTGTTCCTTAAATGCATTATTTCATTCAAACCTCCCAACTACACCATTAGATAGATATCATTATCATCCTCACTTTATAGTGAGGAAACTGAGGCTCAGAGAGGTTGCTTGACCCCAGTCATGCAACTAGTTAATGACATCATCCGAATTCACATTGAGTTTACTTGCTTCTAATATTTTTTTTGCCAAGGGGGGTAACATTATCATTACCATGTTCTTATTAAGACCAAAATGGTTTAAAACAAATATTATTGTTCAGTTTGAAAAAAAAAAAAAATTGCCTCAAAACCCAGTTTTTGTGGAGACAGAGAGAGAGAGAATTTACTTCAAAAAGCCTAGTGAATTAGAAGTCCTATAAAGTGAATTTTAAAATCCCTTCCCATCCATAGGATCAGACTGATTGAGCTTTGCATTCATGAATCATTAGAGCTGGGAGGCATTTCAGGAATTACATAGTTCAAGCTTCTTATTTTACACGGGAGGAAACTGAGGGACAGAGAAGTAAAGAAGCTTGTTCAAGGTCATCACCATCATAAACATTTGGATTATTCCCTTGGAGATTTCTTTATTCTTATTTCTGAACAGCAGATTTTGAGAGATATACAGAACAAATTCTAATACAAAATAAGATCTTTTACTATGGTTTATTTCTTTATGTGTAAATCACCACTTATAGGTGTTCTATGCATTGCCTGTTTTAGCAGATGGAAGTTCTAGAACACTTACACCCAAGGACAAATGAAATCAGCATGATTATTCTCCACAATCATCAAAAGTTTTCTGTTTCAAAATCCCAAACGTTAACGTGTCATTTTGGGAGAAGTACTGTTCCCTCTCATTTAACACCGTCATCCTGTGTTGATGGGTGTGTATCTCAGAAGAAATTATCCTGTGGTACCTGAGAGTTAGTTGGGTATATGTTTGCACCATTGCCACACGGTAGGCTGGACAACAGGCTCCTCACTGGCAGGGATTCTGTGTTTCATCATTGTCATCAGTGCCTTAGTAAAAGCCCTGGCACAAAAATCTATACTCAACAAATGTTTGTTGAGTGAATGATGAATGGGTGTACGTAAAGACTTAGAAATGTTTCTAACCATAAAGCAATGCAAAGAGAGGTTCATCATGAATGCTTATGAACGGACAGAGCAGAAACATGGACATGCATCCCAGGCTCAGGTGCAGACCTTCCCAATCTCTAGACAGATAATGTTAAAACATTCCAGTACCTTCCCAGGGCTTAGACTGCCCCACCTTGACTTAACAACCAGAAAACAGCCAGTGGTCCCTAAGATGTCCTACACTATTATCATTTAGAGGAAGAGATGTGAAGTGAGAGGTGAAGGGGGTACCCTAAACATGCCTTTTAATGGCATCAGGGGTGCTTTGGTATATTTTTTAAGTTAAACCTGTGTCTCCCCAAGTAAAATAAAAAGTTTCAGTTCAAAGGCTTGGAGGTATGTGAAAAACCACAGCTATTCAAGGCAAGGCTTGTACTTCTCTCAGGCTGGATCACAGAACATGAAGAAGGGAAGAGGATAAACCACAGCAGGAGATGTAGAAGGTAGATCATGAAGCCTTACTTTGCTTTGAAGGCTTTGCGGGTCTTTGGAGAAGCAAGGGAATGACACACTGGCTGCAGTGTAGACTGTACTGACTCAAAGGAGCCAAGACTAGAGACAGGGATGCCAGTTAAGAGACTGTTGCAGTAATGTTAAGTGAGAAGTGAAAAGAATCTGTGCTAAGGCAACAGCAAGGGAGAGCAAAGAAAAGTGAAGAGATCAGCGAGATATTTAAGAAGAAAAGGGCAGGGCTTGGTAATTACTTGGATGTGAGGAGCAAAGGGCAGGGAGAAGTCAAGGATGACTCTCAGATTTCCGGTCTGAGAGACTGGATGGACGGAAAAGCAGGTATAGTGTGGAAGATGATAAGTTCGTTTTGGGACATCCTGAGTTTGGGGTTCTTTATAGAGCTTTCAGGGAGAAATGTCTAGCAGGCATTTGGATAAAAAGGTCTGGCATTCAAAAGAAATATAAGATATTAAAGCCATGGAAAGGATCCAAGAAATTATTTGTGTGTATTGAAAACACTTGATTTAAAGCCATCTACTGAATCTATTTTTGTTGTTCAAGATGAGAACACTGAGACAGAATATACGGTTCTTTTAGAAGAACAGCTTTCCGTTTTATTAAAATAGACGATCCATTTTGAGGACTAGAATAATGACTTCTAAGCTCACTTACAACTCCAATGCTGTGATTCTATTGTTGCAAAACACACTGCAAATCTGACATTGCCTTTCAATGACACTAAATCGATGGCCTTAACACTTACTTTGTGGTATACGAAATATATTTCAATAAACAGAAGCCCATAACCTGTAAAACCATACAACCCCAAACATGCAGTGATTATGCTTATAGAAAACAAAAACCAAGTAAAGACACTATCTACATTTACCTACTCTGATCCCAATTGGCTGCAAACAGCAGAAGGATCTTCCTGCCGTAGTGGTCGCGGTTTTCCAGCACTCCAGGGAACCCATCGATCAGAGCCCTCTTAATGCCGGGATCATCTGCCTTGAAGTTTTTGAACATGTCCAGATTTAGCTGGCGGTACTGGAAGTACTGGGCCAGGAGTCTAAAGGCATCTGCTTGGTGAAACTTCCTGGCTCGGAGAAACCTCAGAATGAAGGCATCATCTGTGCGTAAAAATCCAATGTCAGGCCTGGTGATGATCATGTCCCTGACCTGCTGAATATCCTGATGTAAAACATCTGGGTTCTCATTCAGTTCCAGGCGAGCTTTCTCTATAGTCTCTGGACTGAGTCCAGCCTGTAGGTGGGTCATCTTGGCCAAATCTCCTTTCCAACTGCTTAATTTCTGATCTTTGGAAAGAAGAGAGACTGGTCCCATTCACCTGCTGGTCTGCTGAAACTGTGGCCCATTCAACAGTATTTTTACAAGATTGCCACCAAAAAAGACAAAGAAGGAGTCTTCTTCCTGTTCCTGGAGAGCAGTAGGACATTCAGGCTCTATGTGGTACTTGCCATCCAAGAGAGAAGCAAAACTGAGGCCATCGCTTACTGCAAAACAAATGCACACAAGACAAACAAAACAGACATGAGACAAAGAAAGTCTAGGTCAGTTAGGTGGAGCTCAGGTAGAAAAGCAGTATATTATGCTGTGGTTCTGATTAGGTATTTAAAGAATAAACGCTAAATTATCCTTAAAATGGGGCACTTAGCATAATTTTATTATTGACAAATGGAATGTATAACATGCAAGTGTTTGAAATATATTTCAGAACTTTCTAGATACATTAACTACTTAACATAACAGCATATGTGGTAGGATCAACAACAGATTGCTCTTTTATTAATTACCCTAAGAAACAGAAGAGAGAAAGATCTTTCTCCATTACAGCGTGTTTTATGTGGCTATTCATGGGTCTAAAGATGGCAGAGAAATTATGGTTGCTGTATCATTTATGGCTTCTGTTAGTCAATTTTCTCCAACAGAAGTACCTTTTTTGTTTTAAGAAATAGCCCTTTTGTTTTAAGGCAGCCATTTGCATCTTAACAATACATAGGATCGTTATTAAAGGTCACTTTAGCTTAACCTTACAGGTACCTAGTCACTCAAAGGAGTCTTCCAATAGGGTGTGGGGAGTTTATGGCTCAAAATTGAAAGTCAATAACCAAATTCAGCAGCAGTGAGAAAGGATATTCACATGCAGACATTTAAAAACCGCCTGTGTTGTTCGTATTTGGCACTTTTCTGCAGAGAGGGCAAATAGACTTGAAACTCTTACTTGGCTCCCGACCTAATCTAATATCCACACAGACTTAAAACCAATCCATTCTACATCATTCTTTGCTGTTATCTTGAGATACTGCTTGGCTTATGCTAATGACTGAGTGTTTCAATGTCCTTGGGTACATCCACCTAAATGGCCTACAGAAAAACACCCAAACTACTCGTCTCTCTCTCGTTTTAAATATAAATGATTTAGCTACCGCAGGCATTTATTTGGTCTAACCTAGAAGTTCCAAACATCAGAAGAGATACTCAGTGTGAATAAACTTGGAAGTGTGTATGCTTTCCTAGGTCAACAGTATCTGCAATAAGAGGCAGAATATTCACTCCCAACCTAATTATTATTGATAATACTTTATCCTAAAAATAATTTAAAAGACAAACAAGCCTCCTGCTTAGTTTAAGACTAGCTTAGTTTAGGACTAATTTCTTTTTCTTTTTTTAAATTATTGTGCTTTAGATGAAGGTTTACAGAACAAACTAGCTTCTCATTAAACAGTACACATATTGTTTTGTGATACTGGTTAACAACCCCACAACATGTCAACACTCTCCGTTCTCGAACTTGGATTACCTATTACAAGCTTTCCTGTCCCCTCCTGCCTTCTAGTCCTTATCCCTGGACTGTTGTGCCCCATTAGTCTCGTTTTGTTTTATGGGCCTGTAGAATCTTCGGCTGAACGGTGAACCTCGGGAATGACTTCACTGCTGAGCTAAAAGGGTGTCCGGGGGCCATTCTCTCGGGCTTTCTCCAGTCTCTGCCAGGCCAGTAAGTCTGGTCTTTTTCTGTGAGTTAGAATCTTGTTCTACATTTTTCTCCAGCTCTGTCCGAGACCCTCTGTTGTGATCGCTGTTACAGCAGTAGGACTAATTTCTTAAGGCAGGCAATCAACTTACATTTCTGCTTTATGCTGCCTTTCAGATATAGGCGAGATCAAGAAAAGGTCAAGTAACTGGCATTCATTAAGCAGCACTTTGTAATGTGCTGAAACAAGAGAGTCCTGCTTCTCACTGATTTTAAGTACCTAGAATAGTAAAAGAAAATAGTGCTATGAACTGGAATCTTAGATTCCCAGGATAGGAAGAAACTTCAAAATCCATCTAGTTCAGTCTTCAGCTGATGTTAAAATTCCCTCTCCATTAGCCTCATCCCAACCTTTGAAAAAGTTGCCTCACTGGCTGTCTCACTCCTCCAGTTCACTCCTACACCCCCTGTAATCTGTCCTGGACACGCTGCTGAAACCGCTTTCACCAACATCATCAATGACTTTAACGAGCATACGATTTATTATCCAAACCAAGACATTAGGGGACACTGGTAATCCTAATGCTGGACCAGCAGTATAAACTGGAATGGTTCTAAGCAAACCCGGACAGATGACCATCTTCTTTGTTTACCTCTTTGAATGACCTCTTCGTTGCTGCATCCAATAGTCAAACTTTAGTACCTAATATGGGTTACCTTTATTCAGTATTTGCTGTTGACTACTTCATCCTTCTTCAAATTCTCCTACATTTCCTACTGTTTTCTGAGATTCCATACACCCAAATTTTTCTCTTAGCTTTTTGGTCATTCCTACTCAGTCTTATCACTTCAACGCCAGTGTTTTCCAGTATCAGATCCCATATCTTTCTGCTAATCTTTAGGCTACATATCCAACTACCTACAGAACATGCCCACTTAGATGTCCCTAGACATCACAAACTCAGTATATTCAATATTGAACTGATCACAGTTTCTCATCCTGAATTGGTTCCCCCACCTTCATCTCATAGCAAATGACATCTTCCATGAAGCTTCCCCTGCCAGAAACTTGCAAGTTACTCCATCCTCTCACTTACTACCACCCATTCCCAGGCAATTGCTTCCATAATGTTTCTCGAGTCTGTCCAGTTCCTTCTATCCCCATTCACTGTCTTTGTTCAGGCCACATCACTTCCCGTCTGCTTACTCCTGCAGCATCCTTCTTACCCGTGCGCTTGCTGCCAACCTTGCCCTTTCCAATCCATTCTCTGGATTACAATTGAAATCTGTTCGTATCACTCTCTGATTAAAATAAATCAATAGCTTCCCATTGCCATAGGATAAAGTATAAAACTATGCAACATGGATTTTAAGACCCTTTATCATGTGGTCTTATTTGTCCCTCCAGGGTCACCTCTCCAGCCACACAGCCACACCAAGCCACTTGCAGTTCCTTCTCTCCCTCATGGGCTTTGGCAAAAGCTACTCTCTTCCTAGAATGCCTGCTGGTGTGTACCTGATTAATTCTTGTCTGCCCTTCAGTACTTAGCTTGGAGGTCATTTTCTCCAGGAAACCCTCCCTGACCTTCAGAGGTCATGTGTCCCCACAGTGCATACCCACCACATCTTATTGCCATTTTCCTTTCTCCTTCTGTATTCTAAACCCCTTGCAAACAAGAAGTAGATGTAATTCATCTGTGGATCCCCAGCACATATCTGGTACAAAGAGGGTCAGTACCTTGAATGGAGGGACTCCGCTGAATTCATCACCATATCCTCAGTGCCTAGCACAGTGCCTGCCACACAGTAGGTGCTCAATAAGCACATAGAGAATAACTGAATAAATTACCATGACTACTTCGTCAAACTGTTTTTTCAAATGTGTAAGTATGTGGGTTTTCCCCCTATAGTTGGATACCTCCAGGACTGTTTTCCTTAAATGAGGAAGTTGCAGCAGACTTTTAATATCCTCCCTCATCACAAAGCATACATTTTTCCTAAGTAAACTTAGCCTAGGAACATTGTATTTCAGATCACTGCCTCCTTGAAGCATGCTGTGTAATGTTAACAGTTCCAAGCCATGGAGCAACGCATAGCAACCGCTCATTCCCCCAGTGAAGATTTAAAGCTACTTGGAGCAAGTTACTTACCTTACAGTTCAGGGAACTCAACCAATGTTTCCGAGATAAATTACTACAGGTTCAAGGGTAGGCTTGAGATTGCATTTTTCATGGCCTGCTTCCACACATAGCTATGCCTCCAATCTATAATATCTGAAATAAATTTGCTTCAGTCTATATCTTTATTCTGTGCTCAGCATACAGTAGAATTATCTGGGGAGAATACGCAAGCCAGGGTCACTCAGTTTCATACTTAAGATGAAGTAGCTATTTCCCATTAAAGGCAAATCCTTCATTTCAGAAGTCTGAATAGACTGCTACTTAAATAACATTTTCAACTGATAATATTTAAGGCCCTGAAATTGATACACTATGCAAGGATATTCTCTAGGACGTAGCATTTGCAATTGTCTGGACGTCATGCAATCTTTTGTTCATGCAAAGGACTTAGTTCTCATTCAACTTTTCTGAATTGGTTAAAAAAGCAATAAAAGGACAGACTGGATGAGATATCATATGAAGAAGTGCGAGTGGTATTTTTGTCCTGGTGGTATTAATAATATTAGCTGTAATTTATTATTTATTGTAGCTGTGTTTATTATGTGTCAGGTACTTGGATAATCTCTTCTAATGTATTACAGTATTTAATCCTTAGAACAAGTGTATGAAATGAGTATCTTACTATCCACATTTTTCAGACGGCGAAACTGAGACACAGAGAGGTTAAATGACTTGCTCAAGCTTACACAGCTACTAAGAGGCGGAGACTGGATTCAAGCCCACGTAATCTCTCTCCAAATCCCTTGTATTTTCTCTCTAAGTGTTCTTTTAAATGCTGTTTGCTACTGTGCTATTCTGCCTCGTATGTGTCCACAGAGATTCTAATATTTACCATTTAGGAGCTATGTGGGAGCCCTGGTAGTGCAGTGGTTAAGTGTTTGGCTGTTAACCAAAAGGTCAGCAGTTCAAATCCACCAGCTGCTCTTTGGAAACCCTATGGGGGCAGTTCTACTCAACAGAAACAGGTTTGATTTTTTTTTTTTTTTTTTTAGGAGCTATGTGACCTTTTGCAAGTCATCTTCCCTCTCAGAACCTCACTCTCCGTCCCTAGAATCCTTTCAGATTTACCTTTCTATGAGCCTACCTATGCTCAATGGGTTCCAAGATTTTCTTAGGTAGCCTAATACTGTAGCTTACAGATGTCCAGTTACTGTCTTGTCTTTGTTTTTTCATTGAAAGATGGCTGGAGCTGTTTAAAATTTAGCTGTCTATGCCTTTTCCAGCTGTCACTAGTTTTTGCTCTTCCTTAATGTAGCTTCCTTTTGTGAAATGACAGCTCCAAGACCCTGTCATTCATTTAGTGACGGGGAGATAGTTTGCCATGCCTAGTAGAGTACCAAGG